TGTTTTTAAAACTATATCTGACTGTGCAATAAATTTAACGGGGATTACTATCGGAATGTTACGATTTAAATATCCGCGTGTAATGCATAGGTACAACTGCGAGCGCAGTAAAAGGAAAATCTTATTTAACCCAACGTTCTATATTATAATAATATATACGTAGGTACTCCTGCAGCAGCGGTCATTATAATATAGCCTTTGCCCGCGCACAGCCGCGGCGGTGGGTGTACCGATAGGGGGGGGGGAAAGTATTATAACACCCATAATATGTAAATTGAACCTTTAATTTTTACTCTCGAAAATGTAAACAAAATCCAACTTTATATTATCTTGATGCAGGCCGGTGTAATTCGCTCTAAAGTTCAATTATTCACGAACAAAACCCAGTGTATATACTGCACGCCCAGTTCGACAACGGTATTATATTTATATATACGCACATAGTATATACCTAAAATCTATATATACGGGTACCTACGTCCGCCCACTATGTCTGTGTATCGACTACTTGCTGTAAGTTGTACACGACCAAGAAATTATTGCAACGATAAAACTGTATTAATATAGATTTGGCACCTTCAATGGCTGCCATATACCTACAATGTTATACTAATATATCGATCGTTTATCGTCGCTGCCAAATAATTATCGCATTCTACAGCGGCTTTGGACCCGTTTAATTAATAAATATTATATTATTATAAATTATAATATCGTAATTTTACTTTTGTTGAATAATGTACCACCTACGTATAGGTTAGGTACTTGTATATGGGCTTGCCCGATTTTTAGTTCTGCAATACGACTACAGTATACCTACAACAAGCACGATGCATGGACATTCGATATTTTTAAACAATGGCCAAAATATTATAATATTTTATTTCCGAGCCAAGTATTTTTTTTTTTTTTTCATACGGCCTCATTGTAGAATAATTACACTAATTCAAAAACGGATCTGGAACTATATAAAATTATGACGGAGACGTAATATTACTCGTTTTAAAACATAGTTTTTAGGTATAGACTTACATAACAATAATAAGATACATAAAACAAATGAATACTAAAATTATTTGGGGTGTTTTATTAATTTTGTTGGAGGTTTTTTCCTCCGTCATTTTTCCGGCTTCCGTTACACGCGAGTACCGGTGTTTATAAAATAATAACCACAACAACTGCACATTCAGGAGGTGTAATTGACATTAACAAACGATCGAATTTATATAGACGCGTATTTCAGTTCGAGAAAACTCTTCAGATAAAATTACGCTCCGGCGCGGAATACTCGCGATCCAGTATAATATTGCAGTTATTTGTACATATTATTATATACCTATATATTGTATAGCAATTAAATCGTGCGTCTCGCGTTTCGGTCGTGTTAAATCGGTGTCGAGACGAAGTTTGCCAAACAGTATTATATTTTCAAAGTTTTCGTACACTTCCGCACCACCCCCTCGACGGAAACCGTGTACATATAGTAACTCATCGACGCGTGTGGTGAAGACGTGTCAATGTGTAGCGGTTAATTCGGCACAGTCGCGGCGTAAGTAAGTATACCTATATATATGCACACGCATATTATATTATATGATACATAATGCTCTCATTTGGGTCTCAGATTTCATTATATACACATATATATATATATATATATCAATATCTCTGCCGGAATATCGTATTGAAAACAGCATCAATATGTAATGTATCTAAAACGCATTAAATTAGCAACGGAATTTATCATAACACTGCTCCAGTGCCCGCGGGCGTTCTGCCGCGGGCATATGAATTATGCATTTGAATTAATTCAAAATTTCCCTCGAGACAGTCTTGCCCTCCCTCGAGCAGTTTTCCCAGAAGCATGACGTGACGTAGGTATCCGTACCTATACCACCACATCATCATTGTATTATTATTATTATTATTATTATTATTACTTTTTTTTTTAAATATATATTACATATATCGATTTCATCTAGACGCAGGCGTAAACATAAACCAAATATGTATGTTATATACAATTTATGATATTCCGAATTTATTTTACTTTTTTTTTTTTTTAATTTCTGTTATCGATTTTTTTTCCGAGAATATTGTCATAACTGATTACTGCTGCATAGTGTCGGCTCTTGAAAGGAATGTAAGAAAAACACAAACAAAATATATGAAAAATCAATTATTTCATCATCGCCGTTCTTGTGATTTTTTTTTCGTGATCATCTCTGGCAAACGTACAAAAGATAAAAATTGAAAAGAGGAAAGAAAATCGTAAGCTCGCCTAAATGTGCGTGTGTATACATTATTCGTATGTGTGCGTATATTTTTTGCCGTAGTTGGTTTTTCATCGTTGTATCCCCGGTGGAATTTGAATTTTTGAGTTAAAGAACCCCCCGAAGTTTTACGACCTCATAAATCTTTGGAAATTATATGGTGGCCCGTAGCGGGGATTGCGGAAAAAAACAACATTTATTTCGTAAAACAAAATATAAATATATATATATATATATATTGGAGGAGGAGAAAGAGTGGGACGGTGAAAACCCCCCGCGACGGAAAATGATTATATACACTATAACATTAGCGGAGATTTTCGCGGAGCGGGCTCGTATATCTAAGTATGTATTTATATGTATATAATATGTATACATAGTGAACGAGATCGGCGTGGTAGAGGAGGAGAAAACGGATGAGATGGAGGAGGAGGCGGCAGAAAAACAGTGACGGGCCCCCAGCCCCGACCACTGGAAAACTTAAAGATGAAGGAGCAGAATACTTGCCAAATGCGCCGAGAAAGTTTGTCAGAGCATTTCCATTCGTGTGGATAATTCGCCCGGGGGAAACCGCCATTACGCACGGACAATTTGCTAATTGGTTGCGTGTCCGAGTAACTTTGTTAATGTAAATAAAACTTTTATTGTCGACTCGCTCGTCGTCGGGGCCACTGCAGTATATTGTCTCTATATTATATACACGCTGTAGACCGCAAGGGCTGGTCGACTGTACATTATATATACGCCGCTGCATATTGCCTGCGTATATATGTATGTGGGACGTATATACGTACGTGGTCGCCGCAATCGGTGGATTCGATTTCACCTCGTTGTCCACCTCCTCAAATGTCACTATATACTCTTACGTCAGTAGTATATTGTATAAATAAATAATAATTCAGACCTCTGGACTTTATGTTCTAAAAAACAATGAAACATATTGAGCATTGGTCATACATATCATTACATATTACAAAATATACGTACGTCTGAAACTATTTAAATACATAAACAGTAATAAATAGAAAATATTTAAGTGTAATATACGGTAAATATGTTCATAATAGTAATCAAATTACAAAATCAAAATGTAATTCTAAACATGCAACGTGCATATTATTTACTATTTAAGCTGCAACCGGTTAACTGATAATACATAAACGCTTATTTTTATTATATAAAACCTATCGACATCACTTATTTGAGTATATTTAAAATAAAATAATAAATATATTATGCTTATATATTTCCTAGTTTGAGTTACTAACATGATATGTAACGAATTCAAAACTTGTGTCGATTAAGATTTTGAATATTATGCAAGGTCCTTGGTAATGCGCGAATTCGTGAAGTTCCTAGAATTATTATAATTGACATCCGACAACATCACGTCATATTAATGTATTGCGTTCCGGCCGCGTGTATACATTATACAAACACATATACACACACACTTACCCAAGGAAAGATGACGGTGAAATTACCTCCCGTCACAAACACAATGGTATATACTGACATACGCATCACCTACAAAATGTACCTAAATGCTTCTTGGCGGAGAGTCATGGCTGGCCCTCAAAGTAATAATAATCTACCCTATAGCTACGTCCTTTAGTCGGCCGTTGCGCAGTCTCTCTTCTCGACGGACGAAACGAGGTCGTTATAATATTGTATTGTCTAACTTGCTCTAACAGACGGGTAACACCATACACCGATGCTGTTCGAAAACGTTATTTTTTAGTAGGTAGTTTCAGTGTATCGTTAATGTTTTGCAAGTGACAAATACGCTATACCAGCCGATTAATTTAAGTTTAAAGTTAACAGTATACGCTCTATATTATTATTATTATTATTATTATTATTTTACAATTTATTGTCTGTTTTGAATCGATTAATTTTTTCAAAAGCAATAAATTGTAATAATCAAACGGCTGCGTCGGCGGTCCGCACTGCAACGAGAAACGAAACAATTTTCCGGCGTGTCATTGATTGACGTTTGCTAAGCCGAAACTATTCTTCTCCCAACTATGTTTGACTTGGAAACACTATCGAAATGAGAATTCTCGCCAACAACTGCTCCAACGTACATTATATACATATCGTGGATATATATATATATATATATATATATATAATATAAATGCGCCCGTCTATTGTCTAGCAAGTTTTGACGTAATTGTCAACGCCCGCATGTGCCCGAATACGGGGGAGGTTTGTTAGGTATACACGAGCTTTGTGGGATCTGAGAGTCCGAACCAAGTTTAACATCACACACACAGGCGTGCGGAGGGTTGGGGGGTCGAAGTTATGCCCGGAACAATAACGCCGTACACGTGCACACACACAATAATAATTATAATAATATTATATTAGAGTTATATAATAGGCAAACGCACTTTCTCCGTGTCTAGCTCGCGCTGTATATTATAATATTATACTATTGCAATGATTGTGTAGTAAAAGCCAACACGCATAATTATTATAGTACAGAGTAAAACACGATAAACGATACGGATAGATGTAGCGTCTCCTTGACATCTAAGTTCACGACTCGCTCGCGGTTTACGTTTATTTAATTTTTTCTTACCCGAACGAGGCGTAAAAAAGGTTTTTCCCCGTCATAACAATAAAATATAACCCGAGCGAACTTATAATAATAATAATGTTTCAATAATCGTTTGCATTGACCGCGGTTCTACAATAATGATTTCTTGCATTTCGTTTCAGCAAACACCAAACCGCTGACGTTTGACGAAGTGTACAACCAGTCGAGCCCGACCAACTGCACCGTGTACTGCGGTGGACTGACCAGCGGACTCACCGACGAGCTGGTGCAGAAGACGTTCGCTCCATTCGGCAACATCCAAGAGATACGGGTGTTCAAAGACAAGGGTTACGCATTCGTCCGGTAAGTCGACAATGCCATCGCTATGATAATAATATTATTATTATACGCGTAATGCCAGTACAATTTAAGGCATTGTAAACAATATTCTATTGTTTTATAATGAGTAGAGAGATAATTTTATGAACAAATTAATACACAGCGGCATCGCGCCGATCCGATCGGGTCTCCCGAAACTCATCTAAACTAAAATTTGATTTGACAGTCCTAAAAATGTTTTTGCAATAATTTGAAATTTATTTGCATTTTTTGTTGGTATTATTTGGAACCCCATTTTTCGCAAGGTGATGGGGCAGACACCGTGCACGTAAGATGTGCATAATATTATAGATGGTGGAAGAAATTCCGAAAACTGTAAATTTTTCGGTTTAATTTTTCATTCGTCGGACGCCGGATTTTTTTCAAACCAAAACGAAAACTAAAGAAGGGTCCCAGTATCGATCTTAGCGGATGGAAAAAAATAAATAAATGAAAGGACACACGAAATGCTTCGGCAGGTAATCGGATTTCAACCGAATCGGAACGGCAGGTCGCTCCGATTTCACTAGTAACATGATTTAATTATTCAAACGCCCAGTGTATAGGTAGGGTACCTCGCGTTCGTGTGTACGCGTGTGCACTCGGCGAAAACACGACGACGGATATCCTAATGTACCGACCGCCTCCACTTTTACTACCTCCACCACATCCTCCGCCACCACCACTACCACCCCTACCATTCGACCACTGCCGCGGAAGACAGTGGTTCTTGTCGTTCCAAAATGCAGTGAACAGCACTTATAATATATATATATATATATGTTTGTGTATGTGTGTTGTGCGGCCTTTGAAAGGCGGGTGGGCGGTACTTTAGTAGTTTGGTCCATATTCACAATATTACTGGTAAATCATTAACCCGTACGCTCGGCATCATTCCAACCTCGAATACATAAATTAACGGCGTTTCCCGCCCAAGACCCGTCGTCTCCAGCGTTACTACACACACACACACACACACTCACATATATTATATACGTGTGCGGGTGTGTGTGTGAGCCATATGATCGTCCCGCCACGGAGACCTACCCCTACAAAGGCCGATGCGGGACGTCCACGTGTACACCGGATTTTGCGTCGAAATGATTTCATATTGTCTTAATAATATACTGTTGTAGTAGGTCTATGATATCGAGTGCAATGTTATTCTCAAATTCAAAATCCGAAAATCGTTCACTTTTCGGGTTCTTATTTTCATCTTCGACAGTTCGACAACTCGCGATTGTTTCGCTAATTTAGTGGTATTTCACTGTGTAATATTATAATATAAGTAGGTGTCTATAATCTATATAGGTGTGGTAAATCTACTACGTTAAAATATTATAAAAACAATACTCGTGACATTTGCTCGGCACGTCGTTATAATAAGTATTATAGTCCCGTTGCTCTGTTTCTTTATTTGCATATGCTAACAAACAATAAAATTAATCCAGAAAGCGAATGGCAGTTTGCGAGTATTGATTTTGTTTTACGATGACTTTAGTTATTCCTATTTCACTTCGCAATTTATGAGATAATTCGTCTGTTACAATTAGAAAGCCTTTAACGTTATACCGTTATTTAGCTTTGATAATATTAACATAAAGTACTTGTACCACATTACATAATATAATATTTACATAATATAATATATCCATAACCTATATCAATATTTTTTATAATAATTTAGATGATCTTTGTTTGTTGACAATGAATTTTGTTTTTTACGGCTGTACATATTTTAGACTTTTTACAATCATAATATTATCGTTATTTGCATATAAAACGTTTTACATAATATTATAGTCATTAATGTTACTTATATCTGTATATAGATCAAAATTTAAAACTTCTGAATTCGTACACAGTAAATTATAATATAACGTGTATTTTAAGTACATATAATATAATAGTTAGTAGTTGGGTCGTTATATTATACACTACCTACGAGCATCACTGATTTGAAAGGATAATTTCTGAACAATAGTGTAATCGGATTATACTCTAATAAACGCGTATTGTATCGAACAAGTTAAATAGATACCTGTCAAATAAACTAAAACAAAACGGCGGGGTATCGCTCGTATTACTCCTCCGGCTATAGAGACGCATTATAATGTACCATGCTTACCGAAATACCATGTTCGTTCAATCCTGAACTATTCCTGTGGGATGATCCGCGGTTTTCTTTGACCTCGCCGAGTGCACAGATCCCGGGAACGGTATCTCCATAAAACCATATTTTTAGACCCCCCAGTCGCCCGCCCGTCTGAATTACTTATGAGAAATCGGGAAAAAGTGAATTGGAATTTTATAGCGACCCGCCGCCGGCCGTCCTCGCGTATTTAATGCGTAAAGTTTTATGCGTCGTCCTGCGCGACATTGAACCCCTGAAATCGGCCTGCAATAAATCGTTTTGGCCGCCCTCAAATCATTACGCGGGACACGAGATTTCAGAGGTACACACGAATAATAATAATAACAGTAATAATAAAATAAACAATATACCCACGCTAGAGTAATGCATGTCGTCGTCATCTTCGTCATTCCGATTCCTCCATACATTATGATATTATTATATTATTGTTATAACAATATAATATAATATACTGCGCGACGGAAATAACAAAATCGCCAAACACTAATTTCGTCGGAAAATTTCGAAGGACGACCGGGTTTTTGTTTCCATAATGTCTTAACGTTGTGAAACGGAATGTTTGTTTTCTCTCGTCGGCCCCGCCGGAGTTCCGGCCCGCTGGCTACTTAGAAGCTTAAAATATTCATTCGCTCCAAGACTTCGGCATCAGTGGATACGTGCCGAGCTAATAAAGTTCGTTACCTTGTTTACAGTAGTGGTATACGGCTAGGTCGGACTGTGTTTACCAGTCCAAATATATTATATATATATATATACATTATATACATATATCATACATATTATATACCTATATATATATATACATACACGTTATATACATATATAATACTCTGCACACATACAGGCTATAGTATATATATAATACATGAGCGTACATCCGAAACGACCCAATACCTTTGACGGCGGTAGTGAAGCGTCGTCGGAGGTGGTCGGAATGAGTGGCGGGTGAGAGGCAGTAGAAAGGGTAGAGAGAAAGATTGTGTCGGACGGTTTCCTGCACTTCCCCATGGACTGCGCGGCGGCGGCCCTTTCCCGGCCAATTGTAAACGGATTAAGAATGCACATCCCCGACGACTCGACTATATACTCGCACGCAAACAAGCGCGAGCGTATTTTGTCGAATGTGTGTGCATCTATTATTAAGCATATACCTTGTTTTCGGGCAACCATTTTCGAGGAACCGTGTTAGGGGCCAGGACCTGCGGACCGTTTGTCCTCAATATTTAAGCGACCCGGTCGGATTAAAAATGTATCTCCGACATCCGCGCCCCACTGTGTGCGGACGTTTTAAACAAAAACCTCTTTCCGCCTTGTCGGATGTTCCAGATTCGCCACCAAGGAATCGGCCACTCACGCTATAGTGGCTGTCCACAATTCGGACATCAACGGCCAGCCGGTCAAGTGTTCGTGGGGCAAAGAGTCCGGTGAACCGATCGTGTCGCAAAACGCGTCGCAAGTGTGCTCGTCGCAGGTAAGTTCAGGACCGCCGCACAAACTTCGATGGTTTCCGTGCGAAACTTCCCGTTATTCCGAATCGACTCGACTCGACGCTCACTGACTTTCGCTCCGCGGCCCTTTTTTTTTTTACGTTTCAGGCGGCACTCAGCAGCACACAGTTCCCGTACACCGCCGCGGCGTACGGCCAGCAACTCGGTTACTGGTACCCGCAGAGCTATCCGGCCACACAGCTACAGGGCCAGTTCCTGCAGGGCGTCCAAGGTTACACGTACGGACAGTTCGGCTACCAACAAGGTTATCTCGGGTAAGTCAGCGGCGACGATCGTATTGTAAATTACAGCACTAGATAGAACATGGTAATCGGTACCTATTATCGACGCGTCGGGTTTTGCGAATTTCGTGCAAAACTCTTATTTTTATGTGACTAATTTTGCAGCATCATAGAAAATCGTATAATTGTACAACAACGGTACAGAGGCTATAGAGTTGCTCAATTTTTTGTTTTCTTAATCCGACACGCCTATTATTGTGGTTATTTTTCAAATATATTTGTACGCTTGCGATAAAAATGTATTATATACGTTAACTTTCAAGATCCCGGATATTTGAATCGAACCAACAAACTCTTGCCTGCAGCAACGATTTGTATACTACAACTGACAAACAATTACATAACTTTGGATGACCGAATTAACACCTACCTCCATTGTAATAAATTCGAAAATTACATTTGTACTTAAAAGACGGAAATAAAAACATTTCAAAATCCGATCAGATTAACCATTGAAATGTAGAGTAAAGTGATTGAATTCGAATTTTATTTTTGAATAATAATATGATTAATATTTTTATTTTTAAATAAGAGTAAAATGTATGAAAAGTAGCCGGTACCAAGGTGGAGTTTTCCAAATGTAAATATATTTTCGTTAAATGTAAAACTGCGTATTCCACTGTTCAATAAACACGTTCAATGGTATTTCACTCGTTTTAATTGTCGCACTGCGTTATATTTTATTTTTTCTATTCGATTTAAATCAATTGCTTGAACAGCACTTGAAAGTAATAAAATTAATATCAATGAAAACGTGTCTTACGGCAATTCTATCTCTATCTGTTCCAAAAACATAATATTATTACAATATAGATACACTGCAAGAATATTAAAATTAAATAATTATCGACTTCATAAAAAAAAAACTGTGTTCACAAAGTGTCAAAATATTGTAGAAGAAAATGTATTTTTGGCCACCACGAGAAAAATTATTTGATCGCACCTAATAATATTTTATAGTACACCGTTTACAGCATATTATGACTTAATGTCTGCACTTTCAAGACTAATTTGTTGGGACACCTTAAATACAAAAACTATTATTTTTCCACAAAATAATATTATACCCTCTTAGTGTTATCCTAAGCAAATGAAATAAACTAGATTGGTAGTCTAATCCAAAGCTACAAATAAGCTAGGAAATAATCACAATCAGTATTTCAGGTCTACGTCGTTAGCTTCATATATTTTAATTGGTATGATTCAAACGTACCTAATCCTTCGACCACCGACTGATATCAGCGTTATATTTAACAAACTGCTGTTTCACATGATATTTATCAATATTTGGTAGAAAAACTGTAGATTTTGAAATAGTTAAATAATATCACTTGGTATTTATCAATATTATTATTTACATATTATGGTACAACATAGGTTTTTGATACATCTATAGGGAATATACTATTGTGGACTTTTTGTCAACCAATAAAACCTTTTGGATGAAATGTGGTTACTTACACTCGTTAAATTCCTAGTTATCAGTAACATTATTATATATTTTATAAGGAATCTATGACTGGTTGATTATTCCAACCTCCCCCGTCCCAGCCATCTCCCAGAAATGATCTCATAAAATATTTTCTTTTCGACATGGCCATATAAAATTAATTAAACAATTTTTTTCTTACTAACCCCCTCCACCTTAATTTATTCTTTCTGTATAGTGTATACATACTACGTGCTTAGTGGTGTATGAAGAATAGCCGTGTACTTAATTATAATCAGAGACTAAGATAAAATAAGAATAATGGTGGTTATTTGCGTGTAATCAGGAAGTGTCACCGAAGTGAAATTGTATTTTTTCTTACTCGTTTGGCTTGAGTGTATTTTCTGTTAGCTTGTTACTGATTTCCATCAAAATGAAAATTGCCAACAATAACTGTAAACTTTACATTACCTATTCGAAGTTAAAATGTATGTTATTATATGTCATAAGACTCCCCACATTACTACCATCATCCTTGATTACTTTAGTGATACGCAATACAACATTATAGGTACTCTTTAAATCGTCGGTAGAATATGTTAACCAACATTTTGACACGACTAATTGAAAAAATTGTTTGCATTTTCGCTTTTCGTTTTCACAGTCGGATGGGAATGCAAGCACTGCCGACGGGAGCGACGACCGCGTGGACTCAACCAGGGGCTCTACAGCCCGGCCAACAGATCGCGTCTGCCGTAGCGGCCCAACAGTCGGCCCCGGCCCCGGCCCCGCCACCCGCCGCCGCAGCCATGATACCGGCCTATCCGACGCTCCACCAGTTTCAGGTAAAACAACACCCCGCACCGGTGCAGGCGTCCGCGTGGCCCATGTATGATCACCTCCACCACCACCATCACCACCTCCACCACCAGCACCACGGTGGTTACGAGGCCAACGAGCTATCCATACTGAAAATGGCCACCTCGTGATCAGCCTCCACAGCCGCAGCATCCACCGCCGCCGCCGCCATCGCCGCAGCATCCACAGCCTCCACAGCCGACCGATTCGATGGCGCTTATCGTCCCACGAAATTGTATTACGTGCCCTAATCCCCTTGGCCAGAACCCCTAACGAATAGTGCCCAATTTTTCACCTCGTGCATATTTTTTGTATCGATTTTTTTCGAAAATCCAATACGTCTAAATGGACGCGACGACGCGCAATTTTTTTACCTACAGCTACCCCTCCCCCTATTCCCCCACACACAACACGCCACTACCTACCCCTCGTAAGATCCTCCCCGGCACACACCTATCACGCGCTTTCGTTATTATAATTAGTTTTTTTTTTTTTATTATTATTATTATTTACGCTATATTATATTAAATACGATACCGGTCGATTGCAAACTCAATGTACGCATCCGGTATTCAATAAGATTATCATTATTATTATTATTATTATTATTATTATTACCTATTATTATTATTAATTATAATTGTCTATTATGGTTTTTTTTTGTTTTCGAATCTGTTGAATTCGATATGCACATAGTTTGATGAAACGTATATACCTAGCTAATTTTGTAGACAAGAATGCTCTTAACGTTATTATTTATTACAATTATTTTAGTAGAATTTTTTTTTTTATAATTTTGTATATTTTAGTTGTTTTTATACTGCTACGAGGCGAACATTCGGCAAACCCCGCGTATCCCGTTCTGACAAACTGTCGTGTGAACGCATTTGAGTGTGATTAGGTTTGCACAGGAAATAGATTCGTGTCACCCCAACCCGTCCCACCACACCAAAAGAAAAAAAACCAAACAAAATCGCACCACCGTTGTGTATATTGTGCTTGTGATATAATTTGTCGACGAACTTAATTTCGGTTTAACCCTCTCACACCTGATACTTACCTGTTATAATATTATTTTATTAAACTGCCGACGACGACGACGACGATTGCAATAGTATTTGTTTATCTTTCGTTAGCTGCAGTCCTCATCGCGGTGGCTGCTGCTATTTAGTAACCATTCCAAATTATCTATTCACGGTGTTTTATACCTGCACCTACACTCGTGACGTTCGACAAACGAAATATTCATCACTCGGATCGTGGAATCATTTTATAACTGTGTTAATTATTATTATTTTTCAAATCTGAAAACGCGCAAATGCGCTGAACCTAACCAGTCGCCGATGCATTGCAGTCGTTCGGTCGCCGTGTCCTCGTTTATACTGTTATACGTCGTATGATAAAAATAACATGGATATCGCTGTACTCCCGAGAGTAAAGTATAGACCCAAAAGTCACGGGTTTTGTACAAGTTCCTCGCACAAAAAAACACATACACAGTCCACACACACACGGAAAATAAAAATAACTAACACACATATTGATTCACATATTCACGTACGATGTAATACTATATAAGGGCACTGATGTGGTTTGCAGATAGCCGACGAAGAGTGGCTTACGCCAAGCCTGCTGGTCTGAGGATGACTGAATTCTGGAGCCCAAAAACGCGATACGATAATTCTTCCAAACTCCGCCTTCTGCTACACACATAGTCAAGCCAATCAAATTTACAATACCCCGAAAGCCCTGCCGGTGTACCGAACGAATTGTAAATAAATCATTTGGGGCGCCAAAAACAAAAAAAAAAACAATATTATATATTATTATATTATATTATACGGGCCGGTATATTAATGTATTATTATTCGTTTGTACGGTGTCGAATCCCCCGATGGGTTGCATTCGGTTTTTAAAAACAATAGATCGCTAACCAAATAAAAAACGTAACATATCATCGACACGAGTGATGAAGAATTGTGATAAAAAAAAAAAATAAAATCGATAATTAAACCATAAAAACGAAAAAAAAAAAATTATTTAGTCATAAAATATTTAGTAGTCAAGTTAACGATGGATGATATACATAATAATAATTGTGCTTACATGCTCAAAAACGAAAATAATAATAATATTAAAAGTAACTAATAATGACTTAATTATAATATTATGTTATAAATAATATACCTACCTACTGATAATGACCGCGCATTATTAAAAAGTGTAGGACATCGATTGCCAAACGATTTTTTTTTATACAATGAAACAAAAAAAAAAATGATATATTTTTGTTCAGCACATTTCTGTTGATGTTTTTATTTATTATTATTTTTCTTTTCACTTCATCTGTTTGAACAACAATAATATTAATGAAGCATTTTTGTATGAATTATAATAATATGATGGCTCCAGAGAACAAAATAGTGTGTTAATATGCATAATATAAATAAAATATATAATATAACGGAACGTTATTTTATTATATTATATTATTATTATTGCGCACTCACACACAAGCGACAGAAACACACAGACGCGCGTGTGTATGTAAATAGTATATATTATTATGTTATCCAAAGCGATCAATTCGCTCATTTTGTAATAATACGAGTCTATAGGCATAACGCGTACTATCTACATAATAATAATATATAGTTATTATTACTATTATTTTTTTTTCGCAATGTGTAATAATTTCGCTAAGTTTTGCTGTTTTATTTGACTTTTGTAAATATTTATACGGAAAGAAGAATAATAATTTTATATAGCGAGCTGTTTTCATTTTTATATAGAATGTTATAGGTAATACGATTACAATATTATATTTTGTTGTGTTATGTTTGTCAGTTTTTGGTATATATAACTATAAAATAATATGATAATATCATTATCGAAACGTGTCCCTTTGAATGCAAACCAAAAATAACAATACCAATTAAATGAAAATTATCACGTCCACTATAGCTGTATGTTATTATAATATAACGTATATTATATTATACGAACAATACAATTTTTTTTCATCCAAAACTAAGATCTTCGCTTCGTGTGCTCCCCACCGAAATTATTTCCTGTGCTCAATACACTCACATCACACACCACCATTTGTTTGCCGATTTATATCACCAATTTTTTTGTTCGTTTCTTTGTATATATATATATTACGTTATATGTATATATATATATGTATATAACGACCCGCAAAATAATCGTGTTGGTGGTTTTTTTTACGACTCCCTAGTATAAAAATAATATGTAATATTATTTTACTACTTAATATATAAGGATAATATAATCTATGTAAATTAAAGTGTGCTAAATTGTAGTAAATGTTTTTTTGTTGATAAAAACACAACTAATTTATTAGATGGGAAACGTGTGTAGGCCGAATCGTAGCCATCGAGTAGTTTTATAAAATAAACAAATTGAATATAAAATTAATAACTATATATATATAGTCTATATGTATATCAAATTATTAATAACGAAAAGAGCGAAAGGAAAAAAAAAACGTTCGATTAAAACGAAAAGCGTGTACATATAAATAAAACAATTATACTATATAAATATTGATGAATAATAATCGCCTAGGATAAACCAAAGTGTAACGTGTAAGCATAGCGTGTAAGTTACACTGGTCGTGTACCAGACGAGCTAAGTCATAATTATTATTATTATTATTGAATAATAAAAAAAAAACAATTATGTACATTGTAATATTTAGGTTAAATTTGCACCATATAATATAATTATTACAACGTTAATACATAATGATGATTATAGAGTTATTGAAAAAAAATTTTAAAAAACGTAAAAAGCGAAAAAAAAAATTATAAACAAAAATCATTAGTTGTTAGTGTTTTTTTAGGATTAAAATTAAAATATATTATTGTAATACATTATAATACATGTTGTGCGAGTAATTTTTAAGTACCATATTATAACAAGTAAATAAAAATGTTATAACTGTTATTTAACTAGTATAACTATATTGATGACCATAATGTAACGATATGTATGTTAAGACGAATGAGCCACTGTTTTGGAGAGTTTCCTGCCAAAAAGCACACCTATAACGATGTAATATATTATACATTACACAATAATAATTGAAAATAAAATGAACCGTACATCCGAAATTTTTATACTATATTATATAGCAAGCAGCGTACTGAAGACTACAAACCGGGTTAGATATAGTAATAAATTAGGTATGTTCGTAAACTATACGTAGATTTCCGTTTTTACACTAGTGTTTAAATCAATTTAAATAATAATAATAATAAATATAAATTTTGGAGTACAATCAGGGTGTTCATGTTGTATCTGATGAATTCATTTTTGTATAACTTATAATTCTATATTATAATAATAATATATTGATAGTAATATATTATAACTATCTAAGTACGGGCGCGCCAAGAACATATTATGATAATATAATAATGAAATAAAAAAAAAATTTAAAAAAAACTACCTACACAAATCGCGAGATCTCATATGTGATAAAATAATGTTGTATTCACGATTTTGTTTCAAAAACAATGTAATATTAAAAAAAACATGCTGTCGAAACGTAGGTACATTCCGAAAAAATTGTTGCGAAAATTTTAACGATTATTATTATTATTATTATTATTATTATTACCTATATGATTATTACTATTGTTATATTGTAACTATAACCGTGTATAACCGATCGTGTCATGTATATAACATACCTAAATATGAATATATAATATGAAAGATTTAAATCAACTATACACACATACACACACAAACACACACACAGACACAAACATATTATACACATATACCCAGCCATTACACAGCACTTATAATATTATGATGTCTACGTCAAGTAATATATTGTCACGATATTCGTATGTTACGATGACAGAGATATTATATATATTATTATAATTATTATTATTATTTACGTATATTGTAGTGTATATTATTATTATTATTATTATCATTATTATTGTTAAAATATGCAACTATCTAAACGTGTAGGTTTATATATACGAATAATAATTATTACCTATATTAAAATAATTATATATATACGTGTGTATGTATGTATATATTTTAGTAACTTTACGTACCGTGAGTGTTGCATTATTATTATATAATATTTGTATTAATCGGAAAATCGCGTTTTTAAATTTAACGATAAGAAAAAAAAAATAAGACATACGCATACGATATAATATATTATTATGAACTACGCGGCACCTTATATTAATAATAATAATAATAATGATAAAGGCGTGTGTGACAACGCAAAACGATCATAAACGTAAGGTGAAAAATAAATTGTAATCTAAATATTATGTTAGTACCTATATATATATTAATATTATTATCGATGGGGTGAGCGGAGTATTTAGTAATACGTATTGTGTACCTATTTATTTATCCGACGGAATTATGTATAAAAGAAAAATACAGTATAATAATATTATATCGGTACTTACGCCCAAAAAAAAAAAAAAAAATAGTCAAAAGAGTCAATATTAGTTAGATTGTTGCTGAAAAATTATTTATACAGTATAATTATTATTATGATAATATAAACCAACACGTGTGTAGGTATCAACATATGTAATTGTTGTTAACGTTACTATATATGGTACACAAATATAATATATATATAGTGATGACAAATATTATATAAATAATTATTAAGTTATTATATAGCGAATAACTGCTAAACATAATATATGAATAAAACGTAAAAAAAAAAAAAAAATGTTGTTGTGTACAAAAAGTGTTTTCATTTCACGACCCTATTCTCCTCCGACATTATAATAATAGTAATACCTACGCGTATGTATAATGTGAATACACATTAATACGTTATTATATTGTTTTCCCGATTTCCTTTGGCGGTCCCTCGCCCTCACCAGTGCAATGTGTGTGTCGACCACTCCTCCAGCGAGAGTGGGTATGGCTGGGGGCCGGTGGGTATACTCGGGAGAGGTTTGTCCCTCTGCGTATTTTTTTTTTACTTTTTAATACGTCGTCGCTCATTGTTGTCCCGCCGAATCGAAAGTCGACGGCGAACAATACCATATATTATTATTATTATTATTATTATTATAACGTCTACCTCTGTGCAGTCTACACTCTACAACTATATACACGCAAGCTGTTTAATAACTATTGCGATTCTACGAAAGGGTATGCGAGCCAGGTAAGTATAATATTATATACCTATATACATCGTCACACACGTGCAGATTGAACAAGTAATATAATCATATATTTACATACGTGCTTATATATACAGTGTGCATATCTCGCCGTGTTTGCCCACTACCTGCTCTGCTCCTATAGTGAGCCCATACTCACGCATCATAACCGTTGTATTTATTATTTATTTGTACACACTGGGCGATTCGCCAAACACGCCCACCCCCCCATTTTTTCGTTTGATAACGAATTCTTATTTTTAGGAATTAAAAAAAAAAAATAGTCACTTAAAGACCATATCAATATTATACTTTTCAAATTCAACAGATCTTGTGTACTACTCGAGGAGCAATTTTTCAAAACAGAAACCCCCCCCCCCTGTTCACTGTTAATTATTTACCGGATATTTTTTTTTTTTTGTACCTAGTTCAAGATTCGAACGA